CACCCCCCCCCCCCCTTTTGTATTTTGATGCGGCATTTTATTCATATGTATGGTATACGTCATGCTTATATATACACTTATCACATGGAGGAGAGGGCACGAGGGCGAATAGTGAATGTACGTTTTGAGATGTTAGAACTTATTATTCAACATTTTCTAGTGGAGATATTTTGATCTCTTTTTGGATCTTTGGAATCTATAGAAAATGCAAACTAGTGTTTTATATAAGTGTTACATTAATTTCATGATCAAATGGCACATATATCATGTAATATCGATATATTAATGTGAATCAAAATGGGATCAGGTTTTGACAAAAGATTTTCATGTCCGGACATTCACAAAGCGTGGAAGAGAAGAAAAGGAAAAAAAAGGAAGCACTATGGGAGAGCAAAGGGAGATGGACTGGTCCTACGCCCATCATCAACATGAAAAAACCCTAATGCTTTTGCATGTGATCTCCCACTTTGTTTGTATAGAACAATACATATCTATATATACAATGTATATTTCTATACGTATATCCTCTGTGTGTGCGTATACCTATTATCACTTCCCAAAGGTGGCGAGCAAATTCGCATTTTGCTGGATACAATTAGTCGGTTGCTTATCCTTTTTGAAAATGAAGTCTGACCTTTCTCTTCTCATCTCCCTTCTTCACCATGTAGAATTTTGTCGAGAAATGGCTTCTTAACTTTTTTATAACATTTTTAATGTCATTATAAGCATACAATTTGGATGCACACTTATGTCTTAAATGTATATTATATTGCATAAAATTGGCTTGTAAAATTATGTGCATAGGCTCATTTTTAGAATCTGTCTATATGATATCATATATATCGATAAAGATGGAGAGTGACATATGTGTGAAAGGACACATATAAAAATCGATTTGTAGCAGGTTTCTAGATAGAATCGATATTGAGATGAATCGAATGTATCGAAATAAAAAGAATCGAAGATTTTGTAGTTACGAGACTATATAGTTAATGATAATTTTAAAGAATTGATCGAACAACTCGCACCAATAATATACATCTACTTTTTCGATTGTCTATATCTTGAGAACTTCAAATTTAAACGTGATAGCTTTTGCATAGTGTTAGAATGGAAATCTTCTAGAAAATATTTTTTGAGGAGTGTGCAATCAGAATAAGGCACGTTAATGTTGGTTTGTGGAACAGTTTCAACATCTATAACATTAGCGGCGTTACAATGTCGTTAGTGATTAAGATGTATATATATATGTTCTGTGGAGCTATGTGAATGATCATGAAATAATTAAACCATATGAAATCTATAATCCAATGTCCATAATGTGATGAGAAAACTCAAATCCTCAATGGAAATTAAGGGCGTTCGATAATCGATATACATATAGGCGTACCAAGTGAAAAATAAAATTGTATAAATCAAAACGTGTTTGACAAGTCTTTTTTATTTAACATATGAAGTTCAAACAGATTGGCAAACCAAGTGATTTAGGGTTTCATGTATACTCATGGATATTTGGTAATGTCTCTTCACTTAGTTTTTTATTTATTTATATACTTTTAATTTCCTCCGACATTTTAAATTTGGAGAGAGTTGGTCAGTGGCTGGAAAGCACTGAAGCTAAGTTGCGCATTAAGGGCTTTAAGTTTTTATTTATTTATTTTCTGTAGGAGAGAATATATTTGTATATGTTGAAAAATAATAAATGTTTAAATTTAATTACTTTCTGTTAATCTTCTAGAAGTAAGCGCCCAACCGGCAAGTTTGACATGCACATGCATGCATATGTGCGCTGCTTTCGTTATTACCTGGTTCTATTTGTTTAAGATACATATATATATATATATATAGGACATTGTAGAAAACCTTCACGCTCTTAATATATATATTGTACATGAAAACACATACACAAATATTAATGTCAAAAGATCTTTGATCAAGATTTGCGAGATCCAATATGGAGATATATATATATATGCATGTTTTGTAATTGGTGTACGTTTGTGTATGTGCGTATACTATACTTTATAAAACAATATGTAAGAAGACAACATTTGTATTAATTGGAAGACATAAATTAATTAGGGTTTTTATGCGAGGATATATATATATATATATATGAATAAAGAAATAAAGGTTTGGTTTTAGGGTCGTTAGAGAGAACAGTGAGAGAGGCACACTTCGCATAGCGAGTTAGACTATATGGAACTGCTAAAGCTAATTGACAATGTAAATAATAATGTAATATATATAGTTATCTACTGAAATATTAATTTACATTATGTTTTGTCTTTAATTATTTTATAAACATTTGGTCTGTCACAAGGTATTGAAATCACCCAATTAATACACCTCAAAACAATTTGTTAAATTAGATTCATACCGAAATGCAAGTGACAACTTATAGATAGAAAAAGAAAATGAAAACTCTAGATAGAGATTAACGTCCCAATCATTGAATATGATTATATATATGTATGTATAATATAAGAATGGTATTTAATTAAAATAGAAACAAAATTAGGAATGGTGGGGTCTTCACATTGACATATAGTGAGAGTGCCTCAACCACTCTTTAGAAATGTTGTGAACGCGGCTTCGGACATCAACCCGATCGCTATAAATAGCCCATTGAGCCATTCCATCTTCATTCAAACACATTCCCAAAATGGAAACTCGCAACAAAAATGCTCTCGCTACTCTCTTCTTCTTCCTTCTCGGCGTCGGCATTTCCTACGCCACAAGCCGCACCCTCCTCACCTACGACGTTCCGTACAATGCCGGCCACGGCGGCGGAGAAGGAGGCAGCGCTGGCTACGGAGGCGTAGTTGGATACGGCAGCGGTGGCGGCGGCGGCGGCCATGGCGGTGGCGGAGGAGCTGCCTACGGTGGTGCTGGTGGGTATGCTGGTGGAGGTGGTGAAGGTGGTGGAGGTGGATATGGAGGAGCCACCGGTGGATACGGCGGTCATGCTGGAGGCGGTGGCGGAGGCAGTGGAGGTGGCGGAGGATCCGCTTACGGTGGCGGAGGGGAACATGCTGGTGGCTATGGAAGCGGTGGTGGTGAAGGCGGCGGAGCAACCGGCGGGTACGGCGGCGGGGAACATGCCGGTGGTGGCGGCGGCGGAAGTGGAGGTGGAGGCGGAGCTGCCTACGGTGGCGGAGGAGAACATGCTGGTGGTTACGGAGGCGGAGGTGGTGAAGGCGGCGGCGCAGGTGGGGCGTATGGCGGAGCTGCTGGTGGAGGCGGCGGACATGGAGGCGGTGGCGGTGGAGCATACGCCGGTGGGGGATATCACGGCGGTGCGTATGGAGGTGGTGAGGGTGGTGGAGCAGGAGGAGGATACGGAGCTGGTGGGGACCACGGCGGAGGGTACGGGGGAGGTGCCGGAGGTGGAAGCGGCGGAGGAGGAGCGTACGGAGGCGGGGGAGCACC